GTGGCAATAGTAGCATTATATTTCTTATATTACAAATATCATTGATGACTATTACCGAATGTGATATCGCCGATAATGAGGTCACCGAAATAGCTGATTGTCGATAGTAAGATCGCCGAAATACAATTCGCCGAGCTTCGGCGATCTATATTTCGGCGATGAGCATACTGACCTCAAAATCTTGGTTACGCTAATAGAATAAATGAATTCAAACTTCCTATTGGTTTCTTTTTCATATTTAGATGATTGCTGAATGTACAACGAATGAACAAGGAAAAATAAACTTATATGACTTTTTACGTTTCTTCGATAATTAAACAATTGATAATGAAGATTCACGTCTTTTTTTTTTCCCTTTATTTTTCTCAATAAACAAAATGCTCATTTTTTTTTATTCTTTAAACGTTTCATATGTTTCATAGCAGCAATACGTCGACGATTGGTTTCTTTAATTTCAACGTAACGTTTTTTGCTAAATCTAAAACAAAAGAAAAACAACAATGTTGAAAATTTTCATTTTATTGACTTTTGAAAAAAAAAAAAAAAAGAACATACTTTTTAACTTTACTATCATTATAAAGTTCTTCAAGAATTGTTTTCTTTCGATCTTTCTTTGGAATACGTCGATAGAAATCAGCTGGATTATCAACAACAGTACCAGTCTAATATAATAAACCGAATAATTGACAGTTTTGTTAATATGAAACTTACTTGAAAATATTTCGGAAGACCTTTTGTATCACTTCCTTTTTTAAAAAATTTATCAGCATATAAACCACCACGCATTTGAATAGCAATTAAATCATTTTTCTTCTCTTCAGTCATTTCTGGTGCAGGCATATGATACCAATTTTTACCTTTGGTTTTACTTCGTTCGATCTAGAAAAAGAAATTATGTAATAAATAATTTCGTTTTCATTTTTCGTCGAATCTAAATTACTTGTCGTTGTCGTTTAGCTTCACGTTGATGAATATCATATGGTGGTACTTCACTTTTTTTAACAAAATCATCAGTTATGACTGTTTGAGGAATAGACTGCAAAACAAATCAATGCATAATATGCAATTTTAAGTCGTTGATATTTACCTGACTAGTAGTTATTGCACTGACAATATTTGACGATCGAGATTTTGCTTTTCGAACATCCTAAACATAGATTTAATCTTGTAAAAATATTCTAGAATTGCTAAACGAAGAAATAGATATAATACTTGAAGTCTAAACAAATACATTTTGACTCTCTCTACTTCAAGAAATGTTATAGTTGATATACAGTCTGTGATCGTATATCAATAATGTCTATCATGATCTTTGAAGGATCCTCTATACTTCAATACTTTCTTTTAGAACATGCTTCATAAAAGAAGCTAGCAACTAAAGGTCTAAGCCAATCGAATGAACCATCGTTACAGCTCGTCACATTGATCCGGGAAGCAATTAAGATGAATCTGACAGCCTATACTCTAAAGCTGAATTATGAGCGACTACGAACTTTCATTGAAATTAAGCGTATGGTCCGAAGCCGAAAAACTTGAACCCGACGTTTTCTTACCATCGCTATTAGCTACAAAATCGTTCAGATATCTCTGCAACCACAATCGAAAGAAAATATAGATAATTAATTTTATAAAACTTTCGATGCCCAAGATTAGTTTTCGGTCTTTTCCATGTCGAAGTTTCTAGAAGCTAAGAAAATTAAAAAAAGAGTCGCCGCCATCACCAGTCAACCGCTACTTGTTACTTGTATGGATGAATTGAAAGGTATATTTAAGTTTTAGGATTACGTTCACTTTCTGTCTCAAATGTGCTATTTTAAAAGATAACAATCACGTTTCTCAACTTCGATTTCTGCTAAGTTTTTTTTTGAGAAAAAAGGAAATATTAATCATACTCAATACACTAAATGAAGTACTGACGGATGAATTATCGTGTAAATCTTTTTGAAAAATAAGTTTGATATCGTTTTCTTCATTAAAATAAAAATGATAATTTTACGTACAAAATTAAGAATATCATAAGTTTTAATCGATACACCTGGATCAATAATTCTATTTGACATCTGAAAACTCAATAAAGAAAGATCATATTTTTTATATAAATCTGTACATATATGAATGTTTTTTATTTATTTATTCATCGTGTATAACATAAACAAAAGAAATATATTTTGTTTTCCTCTAATAAATTGGTTCTGATGGTAGATTAGGTACATTTGGTCTTGGTTGTTTCATACGTTGCTGTTGCTGTTGTTGTTGCATTTGAGGATTATATGCATTACGTGAAACTTCTTTAAGTTCGAACATTGATGGATATTTTGATAATAGTGGTTTTAAATCGGCTAATGGCGGTTCAGAATAAAAGAAATCTGAACTAACAGCATTATCTGCATCAATACGTTGTTTTGGATCTAATGTTAATAATTTATCGATTAAATCGAGTGCTAATGGTTCTTGAATATATGGTTTCATTCGATCATGAACTTTACGGCGTTCATTTTGTGGTAATTTTAATTTTGTATATAACGGTAACTTATTCACACCTGGCCAAACACTTGGTTCTATACTACCACATAAATGAGATATTAATTCAAGTTGATGTTGTTCAGTAGTGCCTAACAAAAAGAAAAGAAATTACATCTATTAATACAGAATATGAATAAAGATCTGAAGCAGACCAAAAGTCAATTATCTATAATCAAGGTTCAATATGAAATGAACTTAAGGGACCATTTCTCGTTCGCGAAGAGCAATTTGCATGAAATTCTTATAACAGATAGAGCGCTTTGCATTAATGAGACACATGTTTGAGAAAAAATTTAAAAAAAATGTTTTAGCAAAATCCTAGTTTCTATAGGATCTCCTTAATCTTGAAATTTTGATGTTTTTCAGTAAAAACGATTCATCTTTACTGATTTTACTATTCATATATTAAAAAAATAATCGACTACCTATCTGACGAAAACATATTGCACTATTATCCAAATAAAGACTTTGCAATTGAATCCGCCCTTGGATATCCAAAAGTGGATTAGCCGAATAGAGGACAAACTTTTCTATCTTTTGATATAAAAAATTCCTTGCTTTCAAAATCCTCCATACTTTTGCAAAGCAAAAATAACGATGTTCCGTAATGGGAATATATAAATGTTTGGATTATCGTACAAAGGCACCATGTTCTGTTTAAAATTTACATTTAATCCAAGTTACTATGCTTCACTTATTAATCTTTACAATAGATTCAATAGATAGAGAACAATTCAAAATCAAAAAGATTTTCGAGCCGAAAAGAGTCGGATGCTCGCTAAAGTTATTCTACATAAAATTGATTGCACAAAATTTTGTTCATTTTGAAAACACAAAGGACAGCTAAAATAAGCTTTTCTTGTGGTATATTTCTTCTTCTTTTTTTAATACGACATATTAAGTGATTAAAAACAAGAAATGTGACTATTGATTATGCCCCACTCGTTAGCATAACAGAGATATTAATAATATATAATTTTTCTATCGTTTGTCTAAAAAAAAATTCTTTGAAAATATTATTTTAATATACCTTGCATTATAGGAGAACGAATCCACATTTCTGCAAAAATGCATCCAACTCCTAAGTATAATATAAAAAAAAATAATATCATCTAAAATTTAAATAGAATAAAACTTACCCCACATATCAATAGCTGGACCATAATCACGTTCACCTAAGAAATAAAAAGTCATTTTTAAAACTATTTTTTCTATTATTATCTTTTACCTAATAATAATTCTGGTGGACGATACCTACGAAAAAAAAAAAAACATAAATATATAATAAAATTATATCATTTGACTATTCACCATAGAGTAACGACTCGACATGTATATCGATTTTGATGATTAGCTATTTAGCAAGAAAAAAGGATGAGAATTTTTAAAATTTATTTTCATTATTCAACTTACGTTTTGGTGGTGTAATCACTTTCGCTAGACCAAAGTCAGCAAGTTTAAGTACCCCATTACGTGTTATTAAGATATTTGCTGATTTAATATCACTAAAATTGATCAAATCAATACGAAAATATATTCTTCTTTTTCTCTTTAAACTTACCGATGAATAATATGATTTTTATGAATAAAATATAGACCTAGAAATATCATTAAGTAAATTTTTAAAACCAATATTTTTTATTAAAACTTACCATCTAATAATTGTTGCATTATAGATTTAATATGACCAAGACTAAATTTAACATTAGGATTTCGTAATATACCCGCTAGATCATGATCACAGAATTCAAATATAAAATAAAATTTACTACGAGATGATTTATCCACTAGAATAAAAAAAAATGATAAAACATTAAAAAAGAAAATGTTTTTTTTTTTATTTTCAAACTAGTCAAATAAAAAAGTCATTCAACAATATACACATCAATATAATTATATTTCTATTGAAAATAATTTTCTCTATTCGAATCATAATTTGAATTCTTTCTATCGCACTCAACAGTGAAAAAAAATTAAAAAACTAATATTTACTTTAGAAGTCTTTAAGCGAATATTTTATTCATAACTTCGATTATAAACTGTTTGGATTATATAGTTTTAGTAATATTCAACCGATTTCAATAATGTCAAGTATTCATATCGTTACTCAAGCAGTTTTTGGTACATATGAAATTCCATTTTCTGTAAACCTATCATAGTCAATTCAGGAATTCTGTTTTATTAACTAAATACAGTCAAGGTCATAGACGAACAATTCAGACTCCTTACAAGCCCGGTATGAACCATCTCAACCCTAATACGATCAGTTATTAAAAGCTATTACTTGTTATTTACATAGGATGCTTGCGGATTTTAATTGATAAAATAAATATAAAACACGAAATTATTACTAGTTTATCATAGACACCTGAAGACTTGATCTAAACCCCCCTATAATACAAGACCCCTCACAGAATCGATTTTATTAAAATAATTTCTGGAATCTAGTGGCATTTTTTAGAATTTAACTCCATAATGATGTCTAAGTTCAATATGAACAATATTTTACTTTCGTTATGATAACGATCTGCAGTTCCAAGTTAGAAAAATCTTGAGAAGCAGCTAATAGGAAGC